AGCTTAGTTTTAAAAAGAGGTTTTTGTTATACTTATTAAAAAGATCTTCGATATCCTTTTATTATTATTTATTTTTTATTAAGTTAGCTAAGGACTTTAGAGTTTTTAATAAGATTCCGTTAGTATTAAAATATTTTTAATTACGTATTAAAGTTATTATTATTATAATATATTTTAGTATAATTTTTTATAAGAGGTTTATAAGAAGTAAAATCGGGGCTTTAAGTTTTTTTTTATTAGTTTTTTAGCCTCGGCCCTAAGGTTAAAATTATAGGGCTAATTTAAAGTTATTATTTTTTAAGTTTTATAAAAAAGAGGCTCTTAAGTTCTTTAAGTATTAGTATTAGGGATATTAATTAAAACTTTAATAAGCTAGGGCTTAAAAATAGATCTAGGAGTTACGTTTTTTATTATTTTAAAAACCTCGTTATTATTATTAATTTTTATAATTTCTTTTTTTTAATTAAAAAAAGAAACTGTTTTTTTTTTAAATTATAAAAGCTAGCTTAGGCTATTAATCTTATATATTTTTTTAAAATAAGGTTTAGTTACCGAAGTACGGTTTTTAAGGGTTTTTTTTTTATAAATAGTATAAACGTTTGCTTAGTTATAGTAGCCTAAATTAGGTTATATTACGTAAACGTATTTAATTATATTTATAAAATTAGCTAAAAAGAGTATAAGTATAGTTTATTAAAATAGTCCGATTTAGTAGTTTAGAATTTACTTAGCTAAAAGCTTAGTATTTTTTTTAGTTAATATATTCGCTATATAAAAAAGGAGGGTAATACGATTAATAATCGTACGTTTTTTTTCGTTTTTAATTATAATAAAAGGGATATTATTTATAAGCTTATAACCGTTACGCTTTTCGTAATACTAAGCTCTCTAAACTAAAATAATAAAATAAGCGTTTTTATTAAGAATATACTAATTATAATCCTTAATAATTTAGTAGTATTAACTTTAGTAATATTAATAGTAATCCTTAGGTCTTATAATTAAGAGCCGATTAAAACGCGTAGTACTTATATTAAATATATAAGCAGGGCCTTAAAAATAAATACTATTTTAATAAATTTTTAGCTTATTTATTTTATTAGCTAAGTTAAAATTAGTAATATTATTAATAACTACTTAGGTAGCTTAGACCTCTATTATTAGTTAGTAATATTATTAGCGGTTCGGATATTAGTACTAAGTATTTTTATATACTTAAGGAGTAGGGGGCCGTAGTAAGGGCTCGGGTTAACTTTAATCGTTTATAAAAAGTAAGTTATATTTTTTTTTATATATAATTACGTTAAAAAGTCCTATTTTAAACCTTATATACTTTATTAATTTAATAAAGCTATTTAGAATAACCCCGACTTCTTTTACTACTTTTTTTATAATATTAATATAAAACTATTTATATATAGCCTTAATTAGGCTTTTATTAATTATAATATAGAGGTCTTATTGTTTAGTAAGGGTAATTATATTATTAATCTTAGTAAATAATACCTAAGTAGAGTTAAGATTAGAAAATAAAATAAATAGTCCCTTAGTAACTTTTTTAATTTACTTTTTTTTATTTAAGAAGCGGTTAGTATCCTATTTCTCGTACTTTTTTAAAAATAAATCCTTAGTTTAGACCTAAAGTAATTTTCTAATTATATTTTTAACTAAAATTTAATAATCTTTTTTTATAATATATATAATAAGTTTATTTTTAAATCGGTCCGGGACCTTACTGATCTTATATTAGTTTTTAAACTTTTTTAAAAAATTTATAATATTATTATTTTTAAAAACTATAATCCCTTTTTAATTAGGGAATAGTATTTTATAAAAACTTATATTTTTTATTAAATTAAGCTAAAAAATCGTAGGGCCCTTAGTTTAAAGCGTAACTATTTAGATTTAAATAGTAATAGCGCTTAGGAGGGTATTAATTAAAGTATTTATTTTAACTTAAGCCGTAACTAGCTTTTTTTAATTAAATTAATAAATAAATTTATTAAAAAGAATAGCTTTTTTATTATTAAATAATTTTATAGTTTATAAGTCTTAATAAACTGTAAAAGCTAGTTTAGTAAACGGTTTATTTAAAATAAAAGGGTTAGGTTCGTACGATTAAATATCCTAAGGGGCGCTAATAGTAATAAAAATAATATATTAGTTATTCATATTTATAATCCGAGGTTATTAAAAGTATAGTTCGTCGATTTTATTTATAATTTTAATAGTTTTATATTAGTTTATTTACTCTAAGTAAAGTTTAAAAAGAGAAGAGAGGAGCTATTTTAATAATTAAAATATAGCTATTATCTTAATTAACGTAATTTAAACCGTTTTTTTTAATCCTTATTAAGTATATAACTAAAGTTTTAATTAGATATCGTATTAAGTTTATAGTAATACTAATCGAAATTATTAGTAAGTTTAGTTAAAAGTTAGTTTTATAAGTGCCCTTAGTTTAACGTAACTATATTTTTAAATAAGTTTATTATTAAGTTTTTAAGCTATATTAATTAATAAAGAATAGTTTAGTTAAATAATTAGCTATGCTTGTTAAGGTATTTTATTAGTTCTAATTTTAACTCGTTATTTATTTTATTATATTATTATAGTATTTATATTTAGGCCCGATCCGGTCTTAAGTATTTGCGTTCTCTTTTATTTTTTATCTTATTTACTTCTTAAGGTCTATTATATTCCCTGTTTTATTAAATAAAAAGTCCTTTTTTATACGTCTTTATTTTTATATTTTAATCGTTTAGTTACTTTTTTTAAATTAAAATCTTATTATTCGTATTTATTTTAATTATTATACCGTTCTTTTTAATTAATTATTTAAAGCCTTTTTAATTAAATCGGGTTTTTTTTTACTTATTTTCTTATTTAATAAAAAAAGGATTTTTAAAAAGGGAAATTATTAAAAATATATAGGGTATAGAAGACTTTCGTAGTACGGTATTTTAAAAGAACTATTAATATTTATAAAAATAATATAAAATACCTCTTTTAATCAGGTTAATACGGCCTTAATTAACGGAGTTATAACTAAGAAAAAAAGATAGTATTAGCTAAATTAGAAGGGTAAACTTTTTAATCGTTTTATATTATTATATTTAAAAATAAATTATTAAAAAAGCTTTAGTTCGATTTTAAAAAAGTATATATATAATTAAAATAAAAATCTATATTATTAAACTTCCTATTTTTAATTAGGGCTTTTCTTTTTATATTTTATTTTAATTAGCCCTCCCGTAGATACCTATACTTAATTAGTTTTTAAAAAAGAACTACTAAGACTAATTGCCCTACCCTATTTTATTATTATTTAGTATAATAGCTTTATTACGTTTATAGTTAATCTTTTTTATTAAATAGGTATTTAGGTTTTAAGAACTTTAACGTTGTGCGTAAGGAATATACTAAAATTAAATACTATTATAGCTAATATTAGCGTAGTAAAAGATTACTCGCGGTTATTATATATACCGAATGCCGTTCTTTATATAAATGTCGGAGCTAGCGAATATCTGACGCCGACTACTAGGGGCAGCTAATAACGACTAAAGTGGTTGAGTTCGGCAGCTCGGTGTCGAGAGGGGTCGGCCATCGGCACTATGCTTCCGTGTATTGGCCGGGGACTTAGGAGTGGTTGCCATAACACTTGTACACTTCATGAGATGTACTTAACAAGATGAGTATATAACTCAAAAAGTTCTATAATACTAAATTAGAATTAAAACCAGTTCAATATGTTAGGACGTATCGATATACACATCCACGCCCTTCCCCCGGCGTACCTTGCAGCTGTGAATGCCGCAGGAGGGGACCCTTCCGGGTTTCCATCGCCTGAGTGGTCCCTGGATGCCACCGTGAAGCTAATGGATAACATCAGCACATCTATAGGTAAGTTTTATAGATTAGGGGAGACGACTGCATCATTCCTTCATTCGACTAATGGCATGGCTAGGCATATTGTCAGTCTCCGCTCCCGGTGCATCAATCGCGGGAAGTGGTGAAGACGGGCGAAAGCTTGCACGTACCTTGAATAGCGATCTCGCAGACCAGATCAACAAGTCATCGACAGAGAAACGTCTGGGGTTCTTTGGAGTCTTACCGGACTGGCAAGACGTCGACGGCACAGTATCAGAAATCGAGTTTCTTCACCAGCAGCAAAGACTCTGCCATGGTGTAACCGTCTTTACCTCCTATGGGGGCAAGCTCCTCGGTGACCCAGCCTTCAAGCCCATCTGGGAGAAGCTTCAAGCTCACAAGGTTCTCATCTTCCTCCACCCGACGGGCCTCGACGTGACGCCGAAGCTCATAGCTTCAACTCTCCCGCAGCCGATCGTCGACTACCCACTCGCAACTACCCGAGCTGCGGTGGACCTCGTCCTGACCGGGACCCTCCACGCCTGTCCTGATGTCGACGTGATTCTCTCGCACGCCGGAGGAACTCTCCCATTCCTAGCCACCCGTGTCCTGGGAACACTCAACATCCCAGCTCTCGCAGATGTCGTCGCTGTGGATTACGAGACTGCTCAAGCGGACTTTGCTCGGTTTTACTACGACACAGCATTGAGCTCCAGCCCGACACAGCTAGGTGGCTTACTCGACTTTGCCGATCCGTCTCACATTCTATTCGGATCGGACTTCCCATACTGCCCTGACCCGCTGATTGAGCTCCAGGTTCTCTCATACGAAGGGTTTGTTGCATCTCATCCGAGGGGGTCGTTTCTTGCGCCTGAGGTTCTGCGAGGCAACTCGATGGCCTTGTTGAAGAAGCACAGTCAGGGGAGCGATCCAAATTGGGACTATGAGGTGAAGAGGATGATGCATGAATCGAAGATGTGATGCGAGGCTGTCTTGACTTGTACCTGGATCTTGAACTTGACTTACAGGGGTGTGGGCGTGGTCATTATCTTTTGGCATTGTTCTATCTCATCTACTAGCTGTAAATCAATGGCAAACTTGGCTTCATAAGGCATGCTGCATCTCAATCATTCCTCGTCGATCCACTCAAAGTGCGACTGTGTCTGTCTGCAATCAAACTTTGCACGCTCCTCTGGGCTCATATCGGCTCTCAGAGCAGCAGCTTCGGCACTCAAATCATCCATCTCCATATCCGCCACGGCATCAGCAAGTCCGTCGCCCACTTCTCCCTCGTGCGCCGCATCCTCATCGTCATCACTGTCGTCCATCTCAAAGTCCTCATCGTCTGCGTCGTCAACGTCCTGAGCAATCTTTCTTTGTTCTGCCTCGTGTACCCGGCGCCGCCAACCCTGGAGCGCGACGATGCACTCGTCGTGCTTGAAGTCTGCGAGGTCGCCAGTGCCCCAGCCGTGGGCGCTGTAGATGTCCACCGGCTCCGACGACTTGGCGAGAGCGCTCGGGTCGAGGATCTCAGCGTCGTCGTCCTCGGTCGGCGGCACGGGGAACAGCTGAACACCTAAGCTTGACACAAGCTGAGAGAAGTAATCTGTAACAGAGTACGACCGTACACACCGCCACGGCTTGTTACGCGGGACCTTTCCAACAGTGTAGAGGTTCTCCTCGTACGGCGTGAGGATACCTCGGCTGCAGTCTATGATCCACCAGTAAGGCTTCGTGCGCGAACTGGAAGAACGGTACTCTCCATACGTGAGGCAGACAACATCCGGCGGCAAATCCATCGGAGCGGCTCCCGTGTCGCGCGTGGGAAGGGCAGCGAGCTCATGAAGCCCCGCGTCGCCGCGATCGGACCACTGGCTGAAGTGTCCCATGTGACGGAGGTAGCGCACAGCCTTGGTTTGTGGTGCGACGTTCCAGGGGCCCGGACGAGGTCCGTCGTGCATCGGTCTGGCGTAGGGGAGATGGCGCAGCAGGTCGATAACGACCTCGGAGCGTCGCAGAGCGCGCAGGGCGCCGATATCTAGATCGGCATCTGTCCAGCCTCCTGGCGGTGGGAAGTCGACGTATGATGATGGAATGTAGGCGAGGCGCGTGAGGGCCGAATAGTATTGAGTAAGGCCAGCGACGACATCGTCACGGTTGTAGGCGCAGTTGAGAGGGGGTTGATCTGGAGGCATCTCGCCGACGATGGCCACAGCTGAAATATGAGGGGTAAGTGAGCAAAGTGAGTCTGAGAGTTTGGTGGTATGTTTCCTGAGACTCACAGTATTATTACAATCTGAGAAGGAACAGAAAGCACTCAAAATGCCCCGCAGAATGTGTGTTATCGTCAAAAAGCCTCGACGAGATGCCGTGCCGTCTATTGCCTGGAGTTTGTGGACGCGACGCGTCTGTTTCTTTCCACCCCGCTCTCAAAGCGGCCAAAATAGGCCTCGCTTGGCGAGACCGTCGGCAAACTTGTCGTCTTCTTCAAGCAGGTGGTGCGGACAGATGCAGAAGATGCCTTCTCTAATTCGACCAGACCGCTCATTCTGACTGGGATAAGAACCGGGGTTCAAGGCACTAGATAAGCCAGGGTTTGGATATGATGACTCAGGAGCACTTGTCGCCTCACTGCACTGCGATGAACAGTGAAATTTCACATTGTTACAGCTTGGAAGCGTGACAGCGAGTGAAAAAGACCCCTCACCAGTCTCACAATCATAAGCTTCAATCTCACTCTCAACCTCCATTGCTTACAGCGAAATGCACGCGAATACAATTCCTCAACATACGCGGGCACATGGTCATTCTCTCATATCGAATCATAATTTGTTCGCTCGCGAATGAATCAATCAATGAGTTTATTGGCGCGAATAACTCACCACCACCACCACCACCACCTCTCAAACATGTGTGGCTCTCCCCTGTCATGCTACATTACACTGAAGCGCGTCCGGTGCCCAACTGTGAACTCGCCCAATTTCTCATCCTCACCGTCGCATTGCCCACACGCCCCGTCTGACCCTCAAGCAAGATGAAATCATGAGCCTCGCGTTCCGGCAATTCGACTAGCAGATCCAGATCATTATTGCCACAGCTGACGTGCTCCGAGAACGCGCGAATATCATCTCTGAAAGCTTCCTGTTGACCTCCAGTGATGTACAGACTCTTGGTCGCCGCAGAAATCTCATCCACCCACGCCATGTCGCCGTCCATTGGCATCGCCATGGCGAGATCGCTCTCGTCGGACTTATTCCGCACGGGGAATCGCGGGTGAAGGAGCTCGGCCGTGGCACGGGACATACATGTCGTGGTGAGCATGTCGACGTAGTTGTTCTCTGTGAAAGCCGGCGTCGTCGTCTTGCTGCTAAGCCAGGGCGACACCAGGAACACACCTGCAAGACGGTTCTCCAGGCGCAGGGCCGGGATCTCGAGGTGGCATGGGTGGCAGATGTGGCGAACGACGGAGCACGCCAGGTTGCCTCCGGCCGAATCGCCGCCAATGAGGAGATCGTTGGGTTTGATGCCGGATAGGATGAGCTGGTTGAACGCCGCGATCGCCTGACGGAGCTGTGTGGGATATCGAGCTTCGGGGACGAGAGTGTACTGCAAGACAGCAACGGCAACCTCTGCGTGAGCTCCAGGGCCGCCGGTGACATACGCGTTCCAGCACCAGTCGAGATGGCCGGGGAGAAGAGGCACTACGTATCCACCGCCATGGAAAAACAACACAAACTTTGTGGCCTTTTGACGATTGCCGATCCACAAGATCGAGCCGTCATTAGCAGGGAGAGACTCGATCTTTTTTTGCAGCTTGTCCACGAGCTCTGGATGACGCTTCTGCTTTTTCGCGATCCATTTCTCGTACGTCTTGATCGAAGGAGGGATGAGGAATTGTATTTCGCGTGCTCTCATCGACCCCAAAGCGAAACGATAATACGCGCAGAAGGCAAAGAAGCGGATAGAGACGCCTCTCGCGATAGCAAACGGGATGCCGTAGAAGAAATTCCACGCCAATTGTATCGGAGCTATCAACACACGGAGTCAGTCACCATTCAATGCCTCGCTGTAAAGGAGTAGCCATGTTGAAGGCGAGACATACCACGGAATAGCAAACGAAAGACCAAGTCTCTCTTCTCCCACAGCGAAAGCTGCGGTCTCGATACCGACATGTTTTCTCGTTTCTCAGTCGCACTCGCACGCGATGATCGCACCCGGAAAGAAGTCTACTAGTGTGCCTAAGGATTCGGTTCGTCTGGTGTCAAAGCTGTCTACGATCCAGCCGTATGGCCGACATAAATGAAATGAGCAAAGGCTGTGCTACGAGTAACTGGCAAGTGAGTAAGCAACCACCACCGCACAGCGCAGGGTGGCTTTGGAAGTCTGGAGAAACGTTCAGACAGGTTCAGACAGGAGGTTTGACATGGACAAGAAACGCAAATGTGGCTCAGAATGTCACTGACAAGTCTGTCCGCAGGAATCCGCAGGAGGCACGGGCAACCGAAGAGACGCTCCAACTACCGATGCTTCCGACCGAGGCATAATTCAAGATTGTTCAGGGTGGCAGAGGTAACAGTAGCTTGGTGTGAATTGGCCGACAAGGTAGTTCGCACTCGTTTAAACTCGTCACAAAGACCGGTCTCCCACGTAGCATCATGGTGCTTCTTCAGGTTAGACCCTTGCATTATTGCGTGGGGGATGCCCCTCACTTTGACGTGCAGGGAAAGGAAGCTTGGATCTCCAAACCTCATGCTCGTGCAGATTGGGGTATCAAGTCGCTTGGTCTGATCTCGTGGAAGTGGCTCCGGACCTCGGCTCCTCACTTTGGAGGGATCGTTCCAAAGCTGTTGGCGTCGATCTCGGCTCACGTTGAAACGTGACAGTTTCGCCCAGAACATTAAAATACCAACCCCAAACAGTGTTCAAGCTTCATTTAATGATCAAAAGTCCTGTCTGTCTTAAGTGTCTCGTGGGATTGATGACGCTAGTGACAACTGCACCATGTTGACCTCACGAGAAGGATTCACGGTCGACGTGATTGCCAGATGGCTCCGAAAATCAGTCCTCAATCCGTACCTCTCGATACCGCTTGCAACTGGACTGGCGGTGGTATCAGCAAAAAAGAACGGAGCAGTCGGACTCTCAGACATCAGATTTGACACCGCTCAGCGCGTTGCGTTCCTCGCGGCTCTAGCAAGCTTCGTCTTGTCAACCACCGAGTATCTCAACAAATGGTCAGCAAACAACTGGACGACAGACCACACATGGGATTTTGACAAAGAAATAATTGTTGTCACCGGTGGCAGCAGCGGCATCGGCCACAGTATCATCAAACACATCTTGGCCAGAAACCCCCAGGCGACTATCGTTGTTGTCGACCTGGCTCCGCTATCATGGGAGCCTCAGAAAGGTTCCAACATCCACTTCTTCAAGTGTGATCTGACCGACACAAAAGCGCTCAAGACTCTTTGCACGTTGATCCGAACTCAAGTCGGCGATCCTACCGTTCTCATCAACAATGCGGGAATCGCACGGGGTTACAGCGTCATGGAAGGCTCGTACGCAGACGTTGAGTTGACCATCAAGACAAATTTGCTCGCCCCCTTCCTGCTTACGAAGGAATTTTTGCCGCACATGGTTCGCGTCAATCATGGCCATATCGTCAACGTCGGGTCGATGAGTTCGGTGGTTCCCCCAGTGAGAATTGCTGACTACTCTGCCACGAAGGCTGGGCTCACCGCAATGCATGAGGTAAATGCTACTTCTTTTGACTTGTCGAGCGCTGGGATGACCGCTAACACTTCCCAGTCACTTCAACTTGAGCTGAAATACATTCACAAAGCGCCCAAAGTTCGTCAAACGCTTGGAATCTTTGGCTTCATCCGAACGCCGCTGGTTCCCTTTGACCCCGGTCAGCCTCACTTCATGATGCCGCTCCTTCATGTGGACTCGGTAGGAGAGGCCATCGTAAATTCCCTTTACAGTGGCTTCGGACGGACGATCTATCTGCCCGGTATAATGTCATCTGTGACAGCCCTGGTAAATTCTATGCGTTCCTCGATTTATTGGACTTCACTGACGTGACTGACTTGCAGCGAGCTGGTCCTGAGTGGTTGTGGCGTCTTGCGAGGGAGACTACTGCGAGCGCGAAAGATATCGCGTATACGCCGAGGCAAAGGATTGATGACACAACTGGTCAATTTGAGATGGTGGAACCTGCAGAGAAGTGAATGTGTTGGACTTTGTCTTCGGTATGCTAGATGTAGAGAGACCGGAACTAATGCACATCTTCAACGTAACCAAATATGACCCTTATGGAAAATCACCAATTCGCCACAAATTTCCGTTTTCTCCCCTTCGAATCCTGTCAAGATTTTGACTTGTCACACCTACAGAGTATGCATGCCCAAAGAGCTGAGACCTGCCGCTCGCTAGAGGTGTTGATGGGCCTCCAAGGGCCCCCAGTCGGATGAATTCAACCGGATCGAGATGGACCGGGGCGTCACCATCTCCGTTACCCCGGCGCTCCGGCCGTGAACCGTTGCATTCTCACATAGCTCGTGTGCTCCCGATCTGCCAAGAACCATGGTCCCCCAATAGTCCTGAGCGGGATCGTCACCCTTCCGCGACCAGCTCCATTTTCCCCTCATCCCCGGGCCGTAGCTCTCCACTTTAGGGCGATCCCCCCATCAAACGAGGTCTCTTAGGTCATGGTGTTTCTCAGAAGCTCTCACAAAGTTTCACAACGACGTCGTAGTAGCATGCATATGCTTGCCACCCTCGGACGAGACTGCTACGCCCAACGTGGGACGAGCCGAGGCATGGGTGAACTACCCACCATTGACCAAGGTCGACGACGACATGCTCCCCCGCACTATCCTAACCTTCGCGAGTGTTTGATCGCTTCCTCAAACTGAGTTTTTGACCTCATCCTTTCTGGGAACAGAGTCAACAGATGTACCAGAAGTCAGAGACGATAACTCGTGACTATCGTTTTTGAAAACAGTGTCAATACATAGGCCGATTTGACATGCGGAAAATGTCGAAAACTTCGGATACGCCTACCTACAGTCAGTTCGCGTGCGTGGGGACCGGGTTCTCGGCGATCGGGCTGGGAGCTACGTTGAAAAGATGGTACGGCATAGGCGACATCAAATTCTTTGAGCGGCACAGTGATCTCGGAGGAACATGGTTTATCAACCAATACCCAGGTAACATTCCCTTTACGAGTATGGGCTTCGCCAAACACGGCAGTAATTGACATCGACCCAAAGGATGTGCATGCGACGTGCCCAGCGCATTGTACAGCTTCTCGTTCGAGTCCAACCCAGACTGGAGTCGAGTACTGCCTCCGCAACAGGAGCTATGGCAATACCTCCACGATGTGGCCCAGAAATACTCGCTCATAGAGAAGATGAGGTTCGGCGTTAATGTCGAGCAATGCGTCTGGTCGGAAGAACGCAAACGCTGGAGGATGAACATCCGTCGCTACGAAACCAACCAAGTCTTCGCGCATGAGTGTCAGTTCCTCTTCGCTGCCACAGGACAACTCATGCAGCCGCGGGAGATCGATGTTCCCGGTTCAACAAGCTTCAAGGGTCGCATCTTCCATTCGTCCCGGTGGGATCAAACCGTGGATATCCAGGACAAGAAAGTTGTTGTCATTGGGAACGGGTGTACTGCATCGCAAATCGTACCGGCCATTGTAGGCAAGACGAAGCACCTCACGCAAGCTATCCGCACAAAGCACTGGGTCTTACCCCCCGTCGACAACGAGAATACAGAGTTCATGAAGAATGTCTTGAGGCATGTGCCAGGAACACAGACGCTGCAGAGATTTCTAGTTTTCGCTGCGGCAGAAAACACATTGCGAGGGTTTTACATGACGAATGATGGGAATAAGTATCGCAAGCGTGCTAGAGCCAACGCTGAGAAGTACATGAAGACAACGGCGCCGGCGAAGTATCATGACAAGCTTATACCTGACTTCGAACTCGGCTGCAAGAGACGCATCTTCGACTCAGGTTACTTGAAGAGCTTGCACTCGGAAAATCTCACTCTACTAGACGACCCGATCGAAGAAATTGTACCTGAGGGTATTCGAACTCGGGAAGGCGTCACAGAGGCGGATGTCATCGTTTTGGCCAATGGTTTCGTAACAAACAATGCGGTTGGGGGCCTGGACGTCATTGGTCGATATGGAGAGCAGATAGACCAGCATTGGGAGTCGTTTGGTGGCCCAGAGGCCTACAATTGCACGATTGCAAGCGGTTTCCCAAACTTCTTTGTACTTCTTGGTAGGCTCTCCACTACATGCGATACAGGGGTAAGGTGGTTGCTAATTCAGTTCGCTTAGGACCGAACTCACTCACAGGCCACACGTCCACCATCATCGCAGCGGAAAACTCCATTAACTTTGCACTTCGCATTATCAAACCGGTGCTTGATGGCAAGGGAATGACCGTCGAAGTTACTAGAGAGGCAGAGCAGCAATACGTCAGCCAGATGCAGGCCGACATGCAAAAGACTGTATGGTCTACGGGATGCACTAGCTGGTATCTGAAGGACACAACGGACGGCAAGAAGTGGAATGGCTCGACATATCCTTACTCTCAAGCGTACTTCTGGTATCGCTGCTTGTTCCCCGACTTTGGTGACTTGGAAATACGTGTAAGCATGCGAGTGAGACGAGGTAACTTGGAACGGTAAAGTGCTGACATATCAAAGGGACCGACCCATGCCGGGCGTAGGAGACGGACATGGCCAAAGAAGTTGGCAGTTGCCGCTGTTGTGGGATACGCTCTGTCACTGCTATTTGGCCTAACTCGGAACCCATTGGCTCGAAACCGCTATTGGCAGCAATTCAGTGTAGGCATGCAATTGTTAAGAGCTTTGTTGACAATGAGATTGGCGAATTTGAGAAGGAGGGTGGGCATGGTATGAGGTTGGAGACTTTGGAAAGGAGAATTCATCGAAGAGAAAATGCAGGAACAAGGTTGAAAAGATAATCAAAATGAGTTGCGAGTTGATGACAAGAGTGCAGCTGCCCTCAATGGAGAGGCAGTGCAAGTCCCATATAAGTTATTATTCATTACTAGTAAAACTCGAAGTGAAGTATGGCTTGTGTCCACTTTAAGTCAAAGCACCCACTTTTGGGCACCCCCCCCTTTTG